GTCTTTGCACATTTTATTATAGTAATTGGCTTTGTCTGCTCAAGCTGCTCTTTGAAATCTTCTGTTCAGCTCTTTTATCTTGTCATTTCTTTCATTTGCTTTGGCTACTCTCTGCTCAAGGGCAAACTTCATTCAGAGTCTCTTCTGTCATCCATTTTGGTCTTTTCTTTTTTTCTTGTCTTTTTAATGACCTCTTGCTTTTTTCATGGATGATATTCTTGATGTCATCCCACAATTCTTCTGGTTTTCGGTCATTAGTGTTCAATGCATCAACTCTATTCTTTTGATGGTCTTTAAATTCAGGAGGGATATATTCAAGATCATATTTTGGCTCCTGTTGACTTGTTCTAATTGTCTTCAACTTCAAGTTGAACTTCATTTGAGTAGTTGATACTCTGTTCCACAATCAGCTCTTGGCCTGGTTTGGACTGAGCTTTTCCATCGCCTCTTGTCACAGATGTAGTCAGTCTGATTCCTATGTATTCCATCTGGCGAAGTCCATGTGCATAGCTGGCATTTGTGTTTTTGAAAAAAGGTATTGCAATGAATAAGTCGTTGGTCTTGCAAAATTCTATCATGTGATCTCCAGCATAATTTCTGTCACCAAGGCCAAATTTTCCAAGTACCAGTGATTTGTCTTCTGTTTCCAACTTTTGCATTCCAGTCACCAGTGATAATTAACATATCTTGATTACATGTTTGGTCAATTTCAGACTGTAGAAGCTGATAAAAATCTTTAATTTCCTCATCTTTGGCTTTGGTGGTTGGTGCATAAATTTGAATAATAGTTGTATTAACTGGTCTTCCTTGTACATGTATGGATATATCCTATCACTGACAGCCTTGTACTTCAGGCCAGATCTTGAAATATCCTTTGTGATGATAAATGCCATGCCATTCCTCTTCAAATTGTCATTCCTGGCACAATAGATCATATGGGTGTCTGATTCAAAATGGCCAATACCAGTCCACTTCAGCTCACTAATGCATAGGATATCAATCTTTATGTGTTCTATTTCATTTTTGACAACTTCTAATTTTCCTAGATTCATACTTCATACATTCCATGTTCCCATTATTAATGGATGTTTGCAGCTGTTTCTTCTCAATTTGAGTCATGTCATGTCAGCAAATGGAGGTCTCAAAAGCTTTACTTTATTCATACCAGTAAGACTGGTTCTACTCTGCTGATGCAGCTCTTTCCCAGTCATACTTTGAGAGCCTTCTGACCTAAGTGGCTCGTCATCCTGCGCTGTATCAGAGTGTTTCCAGGCTATTCATATAATTGCCTAGTAATGTAACGTACAGTATTTCTCTGCTATTCATAAGGTTTTCCCAGGCCAATTCTTTGAGAAGTGGATGGCCTCTTCCTTCTTCCTAATCTGTCTCAGTCTGCAAGCCACACTGAAACCTGTGCACCACGTGCAACCCTGCTGGCATTTGAAACACCAGTGGCACAGCCTCAAGCCTCACAGCAACACGCCACCACAGTATGACAAACCGACAGACAAGTTTGTCTTCCTTAGCTGTTCAAAACCTCTCCATCCTCCCCTTACCTAGATCCCTGCTGCTTGCTTGCTCTGTCCTGGTCCCCCTGACTTTCCTTTCCTTTCCCCTCTGCTTTCCTGCCACTTGGGGGGTGGGTACTGGGTCCCTCCCCTTACCTGGATCCCTCTGCTGCTTGCTCACTCTGTCCTTGTCCCCCTGGTTTTCATTAGCAGAAAAAAAAAAAAAAAAAAACAAAAAACCTACTGCCATCGAGTCGATTCCAACTCATAGCAAGCTCCTTTGTGTTTCCAAGGTGGTA